GATATTGAGAGACGTTTTCTCACGTGCGAACTGCTGCTTCAACGGCAGAAAAGAAAAGGTTTTTTGCATCGGATTGTTACCGGTGACGAAAAGTGGATCCATTATGACAATCCAAAGCGCAGAAAGTCATGGGTTAAGCCCGGCGAACCATCAACATCAGTGGCAAAGCCCAATATCCATGGCTCAAAGCTCCTGCTCTGTATTTGGTGGGATCAGAAGGGTGTCATATACTACGAACTGCTAAAACCGCATGAAACCGTTACTGGAGATCTCTACCGACGGCAACTGATGCGCTTGAGCCGTGCATTGAAGCAAAAACGGTCGGAGAAGATTGTACAAAATGGTTCGATTCCTGGATTTCATCTAAAGATGAACAGTTCTTCCGACGCGGTATTCATTCACTGCCCGAAAGATGGTCAAAAGTAGTAGAAAGTGATGGGAAGTACTTTCATTAATGTATTTTTTAATGCTCATGTGAAATAAATAACATTCTTTCATTAAAAAAACGCTACGAATTAATTCCAACACCTAATAATATATAATATAATATAATATTGTATAATATATAATATAATTGAGCTGTCCAAATATTTTTCGGTATTTTTGGACTTGAAATTGAAATGTGTTGGTATTCACGCCCATTACTATTCTTATTCCTCATTGCTGTTTTGTCGCAGCGCGCGATGTTTGATCTCTCGATGAACGACATTAAGTCGTACGACTGAAATCGTTAAAGTTATTGACCTATATCTTTCACTACGTTTAAAAGTATTCTGTTACTAATATTATAAGATATTATTATTCATAATATATTTAACTACAAAAATATGAATAACAGAATAACTTTTAAACATAGTAAAAAACACTAGGTAATAGGTGTGAATATCTCACATTTTGATTTCAAGTCAAAAGCACCACCTGGAACAGCTCTATAATATAAAATATCTATCATTCAAAACACTTTTAAAATAGCCTTACAAGCAACTTCATACTTATATCGATCATAAAAATCATAACGATCATAACAAATTAAACAAATTAAATTACCAAATTAAACATTAACGCTATACATGCACAAAATATGAAATCACAAAAAATATTGCAAAAAATGCTCTGTGAATTTCTGAAACTCCTCTTGTTCGGTTAAGGATTAATTACAATTAAATGAAAACTAAAAACATCTAAAAAATATCTTCATAAATAAGGTCAAATGTTTCGATCTTTACTATTGTTTGTGTATGTGTAAATGGTTAACTCGATACAGTTTCCACCACTTTTATCTTTAACAGCAATCGCGGACTTCTGTACGCCTTCTTGTCTCGCATGAAAGTGACCCAGCGTCACCACACTCGCTATCGTCGCGCAAATACCCATGTATACTCGCGAGGCAATTCCCTCTCTCGGTAACGGGCCTTACCATGACGGGACTTATCAACTAACGCGCGCGGGTGCGGAGCGCTTACATCGAATGAATGAATAACATAAATAGTCAACGCGCTAACAACTATGGCTTTTTCAGTGAAAATAAAATATAAAGTATAATGATAATGACAAAGCTTTTATTTATTAGCTTAAGGATCAAGGTAACAACTTTATATTTTAATATCTCTTTTAAGTTTTAAATTAGTATAGTTAGAAGCGGCTTAAAGATTATAATTCAAAATTACTATAAGGAGCTATGAGCCAAGTAATTTATAAATATTATGTAAACTACATAAATTATTAACTAAATGTTTTGACCTAGTGAGGTCATTATCAATGTTGATAACATGTTTGAATTTGTGAAACCGTAAATGCATAATATAAAATCTATATGAAACATGAAATAAAAACTATAATAGAACATGATTTGATGAAACTATTGTACACAGTTACCATGTTCTACTACATAGTAGAAGTTTATATAATTGATACTAAACGTATGAAACTATTGTACAGTTATCATATAGTTTATACTATAATATTATTTAGTAGTTTATATAATATTTGTAAATTATTTGACACATAGTTCCTTATTGTAATATTGAATTTTAAATTGTAAAAAAATTTCTAATACTTATAGAAACATTTGTTATTAAAGTACGTCTGGACAATATACTTTCTAATAAATGTCAATGAACTGTATATAACATGGTATATAATCATACAATCTTAAATCAACACACAAACAACATTAAAATTGATGACAAGAATAATTTGTAAATAAACTCTGATATGGAATTTTTCAGTCTTTATATTCTGTCTTCATTTTCATACTGTTTAGCCCGTAAAAACTGTTCCAAATGTTTAAAAAAATGAAAGTCGGTTGACAAAAAATCCGATGAATAAGTTGGGTGCTGCAAAATTTCATATTTTAATTCATTTAATTTCGCAATTGTTTTGTACGACGTATGCGGTCGAACGTTGTCGTGGAGAAATATTGGACCATACCGATTAACAAGTGATGGGCGTATAATTTTCAATTTTTCATGCATTTCATCAATGTACTGGCAGTACTTTTCGGCTGTAATTGTCTCCCCAGTTCGAAGGAATAAGTAATGAATTACTCCAGTCACATTCCACCAAACTGTTATTAAAATTTTCCGTGGATGAAGTGATGGTCTTGGAGTATGAGCACAAGCCTCATTCCTATCAAGCCACTGAGCACACCTTTTCCTATTGTCGTAAAGAATCTATTTTTTATCACATAATAATCCGATCGAAAAATAGCTCTCGATGAAATCGGGTTAGTAATGATGAGCATACGTTCAATCGATCCAGCTTATTTCGCTCGGTTAGTTCGTGCGGTACCCATTTATCCATTTTTTTCACCTTGCCAATTTCAGAAAGGTGTCGCAATATCGTTGTATGGTTAACTTTCATTCTGGTAGCAAGTTCCCTTATAGATACAGTTGGATTCGTTTCCATCAATGCTTTCAGAGCATCATTTTTCACAGACATTTTTGGGTA